AATTCCATTGTAGCAGAAATGACAACACTCTACAACAAAAGAAAAAGAGCATTTATACTTAGCAAAAAAGAAATGAAACTCAGAAACAGTGATGTCAAGCTCATTTTTGGTATCGACTGTGGAGAAGACAATATCACCACCAAATTCTATGCAAGACCAAAGGATTTTGAGCTTCCATTTTACAAACGAAGATGCAAATCAGTAAAGAGATTGGATGGCAAGTCTTTGACAAAATGTTTCAACAAACAAAAAAAGGAAAATCAACCGATGATCGTCAAGATCTTGCAAGGGTCATCACCCTTTACTTATGCTTGAAACTTCTCATGCCTACAACAGGCCATACACTCAGTTGGAGTTTCCTTAACTATGTTGACAATCTCAACAACATCAAGAAGTACAATTGGGTTGAGGCAATAAAAGACACACTGATGAATTCAATGGCAAATGCAAACAACAACCCAAGGCATGTCATTGGATGCGTCATGTTACTCTTGGTAAGCACATTACTCAACTACTTCACACAAAAATATCAGACATCCACCTATTTCTAACTATCTAACATATTTCAATTTTTTTTTACAGTACTGGTACTGTGAGCACAGTAAACTCCTCCGACCATCTAACAAAGAAGGCTTCCCAAGGTTTATGAAATGGAACCTTGGCAAAATGTACTCCAAATGGAAATACATCAGCCTTGCTCACTTTGAAAAGGTATTCAAACTCTTCTATACTATCATAGCACAAATCTATTCAACACTCCTTTCACAGTCATTATAGTAAAAATCATGTTATGAAACTTTCAAATTCTTCAGTTTCAAACAACATATATTCAACACTAGACTCACATTATTCACAGTACAAACCATATTATGAAACTGTAAAAGTTTACAGTTTCAAAGAACGCACTTATTTAACATCACTCATGTTATGAAACTGTAAAACTTTACAGTTTAAACACACAAATCTATTTCACATCACTCATATTATGAAACTGTAAAATTTTTCAGTTTCAAGAAACATATTTCGACACTTTACCCACATTACTCATAGTACAACTCATCTTATGAAACTGACCAATTTTACAGTATTACTGATATATGCCACATTGTTCCAATGCAGGTTAACCAAAGTGTTTTAACCTCAACTGAACAAGAAATACAGTTATTGCATATCAATCAAAGCACATCAACTAACTCTTCAGCAAAGAAACATGACCACAAAAAGGACAATAAGTGGGAAAAAAAAAAAAACAAAAGCAACAAAAAAAAAGACTTCTAGACAGTGATGAGGAGGACTTTCTCAAAGAAGAACATCAATCAGAATCAGAATCGGAACAAGAAGAACAACAAGAAAAAAAGAAAAGAAAGCAAAAACCACAAGAAGAACCAGAAAGTAATGAACAAGAAGAAGAGAGTGATGATGAAAAAAAACAAGTGACTGATGAAGAAAAAACTGACGAAGAAGAAAAAGAAGAAGAAGAAGAAGAAACTAAAGAAGAAGAAGAAACTGAAGAACCAGAAGAACCTGATGAACAACAAGACAATGATGAAGTAGAAGAAAGACAAGAAGCAAAAGGTGATCAACAAGAAGGCACTGATGAAGAAGAAGACCAACAACAAGAACAAGAAGACCAACAACAAGAACAAGAAGAACAACAAACAAACCAACAACAAGAAGTCAATGAACAAGAACTGACAAACCAACAACAAGAAGTCAATGAACAAGAACTGACAAACCAACAAGAAGAACTCCAAGAGAAATCTGACATATTTCATACACAAGGTAAACTATTGTCTAATACTAAAGCAAACTGTAAAATTTAATTAAACTAACCAAAACACAATCCAACATTTTTATAGGTCATGACCAACCACAAACACCAACCAAAGAGGACGACAAGGACAAGATCATATCAGCCATGAGAGCACAAATGCAAGAAATGGAACAAAAATTCATGGCTGAATTGCATAAAAAAGAAGATCAATTGAAGGAAATGTCCACCAAAAAAACTGGCAGTCCCCAACAAAGATCCATGGTCAAGAGAATCAAACAAAAATCAAGAAAACAAGCACATGACCCAGATTTTGAATACCAACCAATGACCAAACCCAAAGAACATGCAACAAACAAGACACAAACTGCTGCTGATGTACCCAAACCAACACAGGGTACCAATGAAGAAAAACAGAAGAAGAATGACAACAAAAAACAGGGTGCTCATGAAGCAAAACAACAGCAGAAAGAAAAGATGCAAGAACATATTGGCCAAGAGAAACCAGTTGCTGCTGAAACAAACCCAAAAGAGCATGCCAATCAAAAGAAGACAAATCTTCAAGTATTGGAAAGTGATGATGATTCCCAGGAAGAATCAATCCCAAACAAGCCACTCACCATTTCATGCCGCAAAACAAACAAGGTTTGGCATAGCCTATCCAAAAAAGACCAAGACCAAATTCAACTCATCAACAACACACAATCAACTGCTTGTGTCTGGTCTGGCAGCGAAGATGAAAACTGCGTATACTTTTCAGATATATGCAGATTGACCAACAGGGAACCCTTATATGGGAATGTAGGTCTCCAACTGCACAATTTTACAGTTTCTGTACATATTCAATAACCTATTCCACAAACCTAACACATTCTCATATATAACATGTTTCAGGTCATTGATGCCTTCTCAAAAAAGCAATTGGCACTCCAACCAACCATTGAAGAATTTGAGAAAAACGATCTAGTCTTTGCAAGCAATCCATACGCAGGAAGATCTTACGTTTTCTCAACACTCATCAATGTAAGCAAAACTTAACATACCTTACAACTGCAAAATTTTCTAATTTATCAACATGTATTACTACATAGTTTTATGACATATTTCAAACATATATATGACTTACAGACTCCACTACAAAACCAAGATCAAGCACTGAGAGAAAAACTGATGGACAGCCATTTTCCAGAAGCAATGAAAAACAGATATATCCATTTCCCAATCAACCACGACAACCATTGGACAATTGTGGTCAGCAATCAAGGAAACATGTTATCATCTCAAGAGTACGAGACAGTAATTGCATCAATTAAGGAATGGACACAACAAACCCTACACTCGTAAGATACAAAATCAATAAACTAATCTTCCAATATGCTAAATTTTGCAGTTTTACCTAACTAATGAACTTCATCTAAAACTTTGCAGGAATGATAGTGCAATCGCCGTCTGCAATGTTATCAACCAATAAATCAATTAGCAACCTATGCAGAAATCACTTCGACCAACTGAGTGGGTCAAATTTTGAGCAAAAATCATCAGTCAATTCCTCAATGATGAGAACTGATCTTGGAAACTCGAGCACTACCAAATGTTGACAAAACATACCAAACCATAGAAACAATGAACAAACTTCTTAACAATATAAATATTCAAGTGAACATATCTTTGTACTTTTTTTTTTAACATATGACAAGTACTTTATATACTTTTGAAAATGATCTTCTTCTGGTTATTATGGTGAAAATGATTGTTGTCATTGATATTGTTGTTGCTCTTCTTCTTATTATTATTATTGTGGTTGTTCTTCTGATTGTTTGTGTACTTGTTTGTGGTTGCATATATTTTCATACAGTAAAGCTTGTTTCTAATAATTCTTCAAACTGCAAAATTATGCAGTTTCATCAGGTTGTTTCTAATAATTCTTAAAACTGCAAAATTATGCAGTTTCATCATGTTGTTTCTAATAATTCTTAAAACTGCAAAATTATACAGTTTCATTACTCAAAAAAAAAAATTATGCTACACAATTATGCATCCAATTTCATGACTCAACAAATAGATGAGCTACATTTCAAAATTGAAAATAAAACTGAAAAATTTTATAGTTTTGTAGCTATGAAATATGAAATAAATGAATTATGTAGTAAAATTGCATTTCAATATTATACAGTTTCAATAAGAAATTTTCAACAACCTTCTCAGCATTCCATAAAAATAAAAAACAAAACAAGACTGTTATAAAACAACTTCAATAACTAAAGAACACATCAAAAAACAAAAAATAATTCAACCAACTTTATTCATTACTTCCATAATACCAAGTATCACAGTTTTTATTATCATAATTCCTCAAATTCAAATACAAATCCAAAAGAATAGACTGTAGCCTCAAATAGCAGCCTTGCACGTCTCCTTATTGTGATTCTCATATTTCAAGCACCTCCCACACTTGATTTGCTTCACATTCTCACCCCTAGAAAGTATCCTCTTCTTCTTGTTCCGCCCGGGCTGCTTCTTCGTTATATGAGGTTTGATAATCGAACTACCGGCACCATCAAAGTCAAATCTCTCACTTAAAGGCACTAGATAAACAGATTCCTTGTATGACTCTCTAAAACAATCTACACGAAAAAAGGGATCAATGAAATCATATACATCTTTACCACCACTACGCAAAACATGCACAACATGACAACAAGGAAAACCATTCAATTGCCATTCATGGCAAGAACAAGTCTGTCTACCAATATCAACATAAAAAGAAATAGAAGAATGAACCTCAAGCGCAGTATCACTAGCAACAATCACATCCCAAGACTTAGCTAGCTCCAAAGAGTCCAAAAACTTCTTTTCCATAATTAGACACAATTTCGTAGGCCATCTTTTAGATTCAGCTCTTCTATTCGACAATTGATTCATGATTTGAACCCTAATCATATCAACCATACAAGTAATAGGCAACTCACGGGCCCCACCAATCCAATTATTGTAAGACTCGGCAACATTAGATGACATCTCACCATATCGTTTCTCTCTAAAAAATGTATTCGCCCACTTATCATTTTGCAAACCATCCAACATACTATCAACTCTACCATTCCCAATAATACGCCTCAATTTCTCCATATAATTTTGGAAAGAAGCAACCGTTGGCGCATAAGCACATTTAACTAATATTTTCATCAAACTCAACTTATAGTTAGTACGAAATCCCACCAATTTGTCAATCAGGTTTCTCTTCAAATGATTCAAGCAATATGGATGATGTGCATTGGAAAAAACCACTGAAAGAGCATCTAACAACCCATATTGACGGTCCGACACAAAGGTCAATCTCCGGCTTGAACCAACAACCTTTAACAACTGACTTAAGAACCACATCCAATTATCTTGATTTTCAGCGTCAACAATCGCAAAAACCAAAGGAAACAGACCTGCAAACAAAATAACATGAAACTGCAAAAATTAGCAGACTCACAATACAATAACACACTGACAAACTAAATCTTAATTATTAATTCTTCTTCTTGTTTGTTTAATATCTTACATTAAAAAAATATACCTCCATCTTATTATGAGAACGTCAAATTCAATTCACGTATTTTTTTAAGATATAACGATCTAAATTTTACTGATACAATATTATAATTATGGGCATGGCTTCTATCCAGTCCTTAATCGGATTGGACCGTACTGTTAGGTTTGTGGAGGCCTATCATAGGTCTCGTTTTGATAATTTGAACCGTAAATATGTAGAAATCGTCAAGTACTATATGACTGTAAAAAATCACGTTGATCTTTTGGGAAATTTAGGAAACCCTGACTCGTTGCCTAAGGCCACGTGTCCGTCATCACCAAAGTTGCCTCGGCTCGGGAACTTGGGTACGATTGGGGAAGGTCACTTCGTGAGCACCCCCGCTCGCCCGATCAAAGATCGGCCTCTACTAACCATGATATCGAGTTTTGAAAACATTATGCATTCTTATTCCGATTATTAGCCTAGATTTACTACGTGATGCGCACAGCATACAAGTATAAACCGGATCACCTGAATTGGAACAAAACATTTCATGTTTGTTTTTTAAAGCGGTTTGCTACTCGCAAGTAGGCTTAAAATGCAGATTTTGCCACCCTCGGGTGGGCTTAAAAAACATGGTTTTGCCACTATCTAGTGGGGTTAAAACTCACAGTCAATGCATTATTCCAATTCAGATAATCCGACCTTCACCCACAGGCATTCAGGTAGATATATCACATAAGCAAATAGCCTCACGGTAAGCATGCTATCACGGCAGTCACTCATACACATGCAAAGATGCTAAAGAATAAAACTTATCGAGTACTCCAAGCCAAAAAAAATCATGCATGAATCCTCAAATAGAAAAGTGTCCTTAATCAAACTTTAAGAGGATCTCAAAATAAGACACTTTTCAGTTTAAAACAAAACCCAGAAATTCTTGCAAATAGGGCTAAGTTATGAAGTAAAGTAATGCAAAAAATGAGAAAATGAGGACTTACCTTTGTAGCACTACAATGCAGCAAGTTCTGGACCAAGAAGGTGAGTCTTCAACCTCTGAAAAACAGCTCCAAGATGATTGAATGGATGGTGGAGGTTGTAGGCTATGAGGTGTGGTGTAATGGCCAAGAACAATGGGGTATTTGAGCTTGGATGAGAGAGATATGGAGGGTAGAATGTATATGCCTTGGCTGGTTTTTCTAACCCTTGCAAATGGAGGGGGAGTATTGGTTTCATAGAGGAGAAGAGTCAAGGCTTCTTGGAGAAGCCTCAAGAGAGGGTCAAGGCTTCTCAAAGAAGCTTAACCAAAAGGGTCAAACTTCTTGAGGAAGCTAGAGCAAAGGGGTCAAGCTTCCTCAAGAAGCTTGACAAAAGGGGCAAGCTTCTCCTTGAAGCTAAGCAAAAGCGTCAAAACCCCCTTAAGAAGACAAAAAAGAGGGTCAAAATCTCGGACAGTGGGTTAAATGCTACACAGCTGGCACAGTTGTATGCAACTCAAGAAGGCCAA